TCACCTTTACTATGTGTGTTCTTCGTGATTACCGAATTTTCCCGCCAACAATAGAGAGAGTCTATTTTTAGAGAGATTATGGCAAAAAATCGATTATTGACATACCTGAATGATGTCATATTAGCGATTCTTGGTAGAGCAATATCTAACATCACTAAAATAGGACTGTCTTCATAGAAAGTACTATGATGACCTCAAGTCAAATAACCAATATTACTACCGAACATTAGAGATTAACCATTGACACTCATATAGTTATTCATGTGGAATCTCTGCAGTAGGTCTCCAATATTTTGTTTTATAACAAAACATTTATATGTTCATTTAAGTGTTACTATACTTTAACTTGTGAGATCAGCTATTCACTTCAAAAGTGTGAAATGTCACACGTGATAATCTTACCGTAATAACGATATCTACATCTCGTTATTACTTAAAACTATGGATAATTCAAGATTCAGCAATATGTAATTTATTAAAAGTATTTACGACCTAAATCGATTGGACATAAGGTATAACACTTACACCTGCTATAGGCAATCAATTACAGTGATTCCACCAGATGGTTGACAGAAGGAGATGGAGTCATCGAATAAAAATAATACTTGGGGATTGAAGATGTAAGGTATAAGTTCAGATTGGTAGCAAATGGCTACAGTCAGATTCCTGGTGCTGAATTCACAGATACGTTCTCACCAGTAATAAAATTAGCTCAATTAGTGTAACGCCCCAAATTTTATTGACTTGAATTTTCGGGTGTTACCGATATCATTAACTATGTTAACTATTTTATTTTTCTCAAAAACTGTAAAATACACACACACACACACCAGATAAAACTAAATTGGATGTTAGTTAATCTAAATTTTGTAACGGAATTTAACATGGTTAATACCTTTTTAAGTAAAGATAATTGTGATAATTATTTTCCTAATTATCTTAAAACGTACATTTTCAAGAAATAAATTTACGTATTAAACATGTTTCCTTGAATTGAAATAACTTTGACTTAACCTATAGGAACTTACATTTTCTCGAGTACAATCTATGTTATTTAATGCGAGCTACAAAATTAGCCCAATGTTGATATTTTTTTTTTCATACTCCTACGATACTTATATATTTAGCCAAAACTAAATAAAATAAATGGACCAAACAATCATATTATCCTATCAATTTTATTATGGCTAACAAGACTAAAATGTAAAAGGGTTTCTATTTTCTAAAAGATAAATGATAACATAATAAATTAAGTCACTCTATTTTAAAACACGTAAAAAAAATTTTGGAGTGTTACAATCAGAACTTTACTTGGGGTTGTAGCTAAGAATGACTAGGAGTTTAAGCAGATAGATGTCAGACAACATTCCTGCATGGAGAACTTGAGGAGATTATTTACTTGCAAAAACCAAAGGGTTTCATAGTTTCTAGAAATGAAAACTATGTGTGCTTTTTAAATAAGTCTTTGTATGGACTGAGACAGTCACTGAGATAGTGGTATAAAAGATTCAATTCATTCTTGACTATTCATAATTTCATTAGAGTTAGTTATGAAAGTTGTGTGTACTTCAGAAAGGAAGATGGTGGATTGATTACAAATTTGTTATTATATGTTGATGATATACTCATACCAGCTAAGGATAAAGTAGAAGTTAGAAAAGTGAAAGCTCGACTTTGTGAGGAGTTTGAGATGAAAGACTTTGGTGCATAAAGAAGATTCTCGGCATGAAAATCTTGAGGGATGGAAATGCTGACACATTATTTTTGAGTCAGAAGGAGTATATTAAGAACGTGGTTCAAAGGTTCAATATGCTAAATGCTAAGGCTCATAGTACTTCGCTGGCTTCTTATTTTAAATTATCATCTGGGTTGTGTTCTCAGTCAGGTAAAGATATTGATTATATGTCTCGGGTTCCTTATTTCAGTATAGTTGATTCACTTATGTGTGCTACCAAATTTGGCACATGCATTCACTATAGTTAGTAGATACATGCCAAATCCTGATAAGAAATATTAGAAAGCAGTGTAGTGGATATTCAAATACCTGAGAGGCTCTTGTAATGCTTGTTTGGATTTTAGTAGAAATATAGATGGAATCATTGGGTACGTGGATTTAGATTATGTAGGGGATCTTGATAAGATGAGATCACTTATAGAGTATGTGTTCACCCTTAGAGGATATGCTATCAATTGGAAAGCTACTTCGTAGAACATATTAGCTTTGTCTACATTGGAGGTAGAGTACATGTCCATTATAGAAGCATGTAAGGAGGATATGTGGTTAAGATGATTGATTAGTGAAATAGTGAATACTTTTGCAACCTTCTACAGTGTATTGTGATACTTAAGAGTGTTATTTTCTTGACTAATGATCTAATATTTCTTGAGAAGATTAAGCACATTGATATGAGGTATCATTTTGTGCTTGATGTGATTGCTCGTGGTGATACTGTAGTGAACAATGTTGATACCAAAAATATTCTTGCTAATATGATGATAAAATCACTTCCCATTGCAAAGTTTGAGCATTGCTTGAACTTAGTTGGTATTTGTCATTGATTTAACCTATTGGGACTTGTTTGGAAGAGGTAGAGTGGTGCTTATTTGGAAATGTGTTTTGAATTCTTTGTGTTGGAATTTGG